ACACGGTCTGAACCGATCAGACTGGAACTTTCAGTCCAGGCGTCTGTCATTTGAGCTACGGCCATAAAAAATGAGGTGCGGGCCGGTGAAAAATGCAAAAATTGGAAACTCACCTTCAAAAATGGCCCTTAGGAGGCTTAGCTTCACGGTAGAAAAATTTCAGAACTACATTTGTAGATAGAATAAACCATGCTGGTTTAGTGCATTAATTGTATTTGAGTTTTTGATTGTCTGTGATGAAAAAAACTAGGTTTAAAATGACCCATTTTGCAGTGTTTGACCATCTTTGACCGTGTCCAGCTCGATACTGGAGTACTTCAGAGATATACTTCAAGAAACGTTTTTGTACTCAGTGGTGTCCTCTATAGTCCCTGAAAGTTCCAGCCTGATCGGTTCAGACCTTGTGGAAGAAATCAATTTACAAAATCGCCGAAAAACGTGAAAAACGCCATCTTTTAATCGGTTTTGGACATCCTGCGGGTGTTTTAAAAATTTTAAATTAATTATTCTTGTTCAGAATTGAATTCTCCTTCGAACTAGATATGTCTGGAATCACTCACACAACCTTCGTGTAAGCTGTGGTATATGTCCAATGGAACTACTACCCAAGGAGATATTTTACGAAACAATGAAAGTAGTATTTTTTTTCTGAAAATTCTTCACTCTCTTTGGCTGCAATCATTTGACTACTCTTCTCTGCCAGAACCTCTTGTATGAGATTGAAAGATCTCGAACGAATAGCGTTGAAATCGACAAGTCTTTATACGTACTGCAAAAAGACATCTTCTATAGTCATTGTCGCAATCCCGTAATTTTTTATTTTCAACTGCTTTTGTGACCTTGCCAGCGAGTCAATTAAATATTGTACTTGTGATTCTTGACCTCTTGGTATACCGAAACGAAGTTCAGATACACTTTCACGATCAAAAATGATATTCTGGCAAGATTGCTGAATATGACTTCGAACTTGACGTTCCTCACATAAAACATCTTTATCCATAAAAAGACGATATTCTAAATCTACAAAGACACGAGACAACATGAAGGTCAGACAATATTTTGAACTATTCTTTCTCCAAATTTGCCTGTCTGCTGTTTCAAAAAGGCTGGCGTGGCATGAGCTTGCAATCTGCCACCAGTCATTATGGCAATACGATCGGCCAGGATGTCTGCCTCATCTAGATAGTGGGTGGTGCAAACAATTGTCCGACGATTCTCCTTATCTTCTTTCAACGCACGGATAACGTCCCAAATTTCGCGACGATGTTTCGGATCTAGAAAAAAGAAAGATTAACTACTGAGTAGTCTTCAGAGTAAGGCGCGCACACATACACCAGTTCTCTGTCTCAGTAGAGGGTTCGATCATGATAGGATCCACGCTAGGATCTATCGTGCTTTTTTAAAAAATACTTCATATTTTTCATTCTAAACATTTCTCAATGTTCCGTTCTCGACGTAAAAGGGAGGCATTTATATGCTGTTTTCTCTGGTAAGACCGTGTCTCTAGGGTAGATGGAAAAATTTTGCAGGCTGGTTCAGGGATCACAGTAGTAACTTCTCAGTACAGATAATAGCAAATTCAATTTCTTGTAAGATCGACTTTTAACTCAATCCTGTGCTAACACAACGCCCGATAAAAGCGGCCTTTATTGCCTCTCCTCCTCTATTTAGAACTCTGCACGTTCGAGCGACACCACTACTTCCATAACCGAATATTTTTTATGAACGCTGCCATAGAGCTAAAAGAACCCAATGTAATCAAATTTTTGCTTATATAATTTACCAATTCCACTTGTTGGCTCATCGAAGATCAATACTGTTGGTTCGCCAATTAACGACATTCCAATGCTCAAACGCCTTTTCATTCCACCGGATAAATCCTTTGATAACGTTAGAGCATCTGTTTTCAAATTTGTTAGCGACAAGATACGATTCGTAGCCTGGTATATATCATTCGGTGGTAAATGACGAATCTAAAAGTAAATAAGTGCGAGGTAGTAGGTGCAGAGACAACGGGACACGCCAAATACGACCTCTGCAATTAATTTTAAATGTTCATCGACTGATAGCTGATCGTACAGTATATCTTAGGATTGAATGAGAAAGATTCTGAGCTGTATATAGTAAGATTTTTAGATAAAACTCGCTGTTTACCATATTGTGGACAGAAACCTACATTCTTTCGAATAGCATTCAAATCGGCCCGGGTGTCAATACTATTTACTAGAATACGGCCACTCGTCGATTGCAGCATACCTTCATAGCGAAAAACACAGTAAAGAGCATTTTTTAGACCAAGTCGTAAGCTTTAAAAATTGTCTTCTTACCGACAAGCATGAATGTTACGGTGGTTTTACCTAGGAAAATGCAGCAAAGATGTTGTTGTAGTAATCTAAGTGCAAAACATTTACACTATGCGCTGATAGAAGAAACACAGGTTAGTTGGCGACTTTGTGTACTAGTAACACAAGCACACAACGGAGTGGCCTTTATTTTTCTGATGTAGAAATGGGGAGCTTGATCTGGAATTTAAGAAAAAGCGTCGGACTTCCGGTATTTCACTTTAAGTAAATGACATGTGCCTTCGACAGAGACTGAGTTCAGTCTTTTCGAAAAACCTGGCCTGCTACAACAACTTCTTCTCTTATCTAACTGGTTCGACACATCTGGAAATTGTACTGACTGCTTTATCCTCCTACAGAATGGATTCATTCATCAGTCATTTTTGTTTTAGACCAAGTTCACCGTACTAAGTCCAGTAATTAGTGAGAACAGTCGTTCTGTTTCGGATTAGAAGAAGAGAATACATTATGCTGAAAGTGTTGTTTTGCTTAAATGTTTCTTGGAAAAAAGACAGTCGGCCGCTGTTTTTGCCAATAGTAGCAGCAAAGAATACTGTTCGGGAAAATACGTGTCTCCTTATTTATACCGATATTTTTGAGTTAAATGTGTTGCTATAAATTTACTTTGCTGCGTCTAGTGGTCTTGGTGAGATAAGCAAGTGAACGAAGTAATTAATTGTTGCATGTTATACCCGCTCCATTATGACCAAGTAAACAGCACACTTCGTTCTGGTAGAAATCCAATCATAAGTCCGACACTGCTTTAAATCTGCCAAATTCCTATATGGAAGTAAATGAATGACGTACTTTTCAATGATACCTAGCTTCTCTCTTACTACCTTGGTTAAATTTTGTATCGATACACCTGCCAGTGCTAATTCCGGCGATGGTTCGATCCATTTTCCCTTGAAAAGTTGGGCAGGAGGCCCACTGGTTGGTCCATCATTTGGTTGAACTGATGCTGACCGTTTTGTGCACTACAATTGCAACTCATTTTGCTGCGGCAGTTAGAAGTAAAAATATAATGTCTGACAGTAGTACCTGAAAAATGTAATACCATGGTTTAGCGACGCCAAACTTTCCGGGATTAATCTGCTCGATGTAGATTGCCAGAAGAGTATAGATCAATGGCCACATCAACATTAACAGCATGATCAAGCCAATATACAATGGATAGAAATCGAATAAATTTGAATAGAGCTGATTGTAGGTGAACCACGTATCTATATTGAAAAATTGCTTAATAACGTGGCCGTTTCTAAAAGCAGCTCTAAGGACTGATGCTGTATTTTTGGAAAATACCATCTTTTAATGCACTTAGTTTTGCAAAAAAAATAATTCGAACTCGCATTCGAAAGTAAATAAATCGACCGTTGACCGGTTGCGGAAGATGAGACAGCGATATAGTGTATTCGTTCATGTTCCTTTAAACTTACAACTTTTTCGTTCGTATTGGAAAATCACTTCTATGATGAACATCAAACTTGTATTGGGAAATATTGTTAAAACATATCTGACAGCCACCGATGCTCTAGAGTAAAAATTGATGAATGTAAGCACCCATAACAGGAATCCCACCACTTTTGCTGTCAATGCTAGAAGAGAAAGACAGCGACACAATGCGTGACAGCAGCGGGGACACTAATGAACAAGAATGTATAGTAGCTAGACAACTAACGCTTCGTAAACAATTGACCGAACATCAGGGTAAATGTTGAGATTTGTATTGAATAACTAAAAGTAAAATCGAACTGAATGAGTCAGATCTGTTTTGGTATGAAAGTTAGGTAGATTTCTTACACAAAGAATATTGTTAAAATGAGAGTCCAATGTGTTGTATTGAATAATGATTTGGCTACGCTGTTGGTTCGTTGTCCATTGCTCGCAAAGTCAGTGCAGTCGATAATGCTGTGCACATGACCGCCAATATGAGATAGATTGACATGGAACGGCAGAACCAAACTAGATTGTTTATCCACGTATTCAACCCGAAGATTCTTAAGTATTCTTTAATTTTATTATACCGCTCATCAACAATATAACCAAGGTTTAAAATAAATGTGATCATGAAGATCAGTGATAATAGAATATTGATAAACCAACTGTTTGTAGAATATAATTGATCATCATAATAAGCAGGACATCTGACATGATTTAAATGAACCTAGAGGAGAGATAAACTGCCTGTGACGAAGTTTTGCATTCTCCACAGTATTTTACGGTTAGATTCAATTTTGAATAATGAGAGCCCGACATATATATATATATCTGTCTCATTTATGCTGAGTACTCACAGCTGATTTAAAACAAGAAAGTATTGTGGACCCTAGCATAAGGTAAAAGCATCCAATTTCAGGAGACTTTTGAAGTTACTAGTTTCTTGCTCTTGAGCTCGAAATTTTCAAATGCAGACTTTTTATTGCAATTGCTTTTTGAATTGTGTAGATGAACTTAGTGTAGATGCGAATTCTTCTTCAGAGGTTAACAAAAAACTGTATTTCATGTGTCACTTCTCTTGACCTGACAAGAAATGCAAATATGTTCTCATCTCTAGACTCCTCGCTCGCCTGAGGTGAGTCGCCTCCCAACTTGTACATCCTTCTACTGGAAGTTCAGGCTGTTTAAAATGGATAAGGACCATTCCACGTAACGGTCACCTTTTATGTCCAAATTTTGAGAAGAAGCTGTTTTCGTTTGGCTTTTTTTCCTGTCTCTTGCAATAGTTTTTAGGTTTTGAGCAAATAACGGGTACGGCAGAGGAAATTGCCGGTTTTTGATAGGCTTTTTTCTCAAATTAGACTCGACCAGAAGGTTTGGTTCTGATGCTAAAAGATAGAGAATTTTGTGTAGATTTTATTGATATGTT